TTTTAGCCTTGTACCTCCTTGTATTGGTATGGAGGTATTTTACTGGGGTAGGGATTAGTCATTTCAAACCCATGATTGATACTTGAGTAAAGTTTTATTGGATGTTGTATTCTTAAACAAGGGTTGGCTGAAACTAAGTGGAAAGCGAAAATGTGCTACAGGAAGGTACCATGTTTTCTACTCCCTCACATAACAAGTAAATTTTTTGAAATTTAAATTTTTCTTTAATTTCAACATGGAGAATTGATTAAGTAAAGAACTTAAGTTTGCTTCACCCTTTGTGCACAGAACCAAGATCACCATTATTGGTCATTAAACAGGATTGCCTGCAGGGTCAGTAATTCCATTCTATTTATTAACTTTTGCTGATTTTTCATAAAAGAAATTTAGGTGACAAATTTCTTCATGAATCCATGAAAAAGCAGTAGCCATTTTAGCTCATTAAGTAGTATGCATTTCTAATGAGCTTTGGAATATCCCACTGCTGGGCCCCTCAACAGTCCCCAGGGCAGCTGCCCCCTTTCATCAACCCTGTGTCCCACGAGCAGAGCCACTTTTCCTGCTTAAGTGAAAGTGGTTATGGTAGTGCCGTGCAAGCCCTTAGCTGCCTGGGTTTGTTTTTGTTGTTTGGATATAAAGGTTAAGTTCTCCCCTATATCAAGAGATTGGATTTCGACTTAAATTCTAGATTGTTGTTAAACTTTAGCAACTGGTTAGATTTTTGCTTTTAGCTTTGTTTCTAGATTTATTTTCTAAACTTGCATGGTTTTTATTTTTCTTTAAGTTTTAGCTTTCTTTTAATTCAGGGTGGGTTACAATGACCTGGTGAAAAGAGAGACAAATGAAGGTTTTCTCTCTCTCTCTCCAGTGTTCCATACACACACATTAGACAGTTGCCTGTTTTTGATGTTTAACTGTTATTTATTTTGTATATTTATTGTTGATTTGGACATTGTTGTCTACAGTCTCTTTCTTTATGATATACTTGGCCATAGTTGGGAAAAGACAAACCTATTCTCCGTCATATGGATCTTCTGTTAATATGGCCTCTACGAGCTTGCTCTGCAGGAAATCAGTGTATTTGAGAAAACCACACAAGAGAATAAATAAAACAAATCTTTATTCAGAATAATGTGTTTATATTCAACACAAAACTGGCTGATCTTTTACTCTATGTTGTGAGTTCACTTGCTACTGCAGCTTGAGAAAGATTCCTTAAATGTTTACAGAAAAAAAAAGAGAGAGAGAGAGAGAAAGTAATAATGTCTACACTAGACAAGGGCAGGAAGAAAAATGTTACACCATATATGCAAGTTATACAAAGGGGGTCCTAGGGCAATATCCCACAATCCTTAGATTACCATTGTCAGTGACTATTCCAAGTAACATAGAGAATGCCCAACTCACACCATCTTGTACAAGGGAGTGGATACAGGCACAGGACCAAACTGGTACAAGCTTCTATGAGATAGCTATTGCTGTATGTAACTTTTATCTAAGCAAAAGGATCAATATACGTTCCTGACTTTTCAATGGCCAGTTTACAAGGATATTATTAACTATGCACAAAATGCTTACAAAAAATTTAGAAAAGCAACTTAAATATATACCCTAATTTGATATATTTTAACAAGTTATGAAATTATCTGTGAACTCCTCATAAAGGAAAACTATTTCTAAAAACAAAATAACATAGTTAATGTATACTTTAAATGATAAACAATCCAAATGTTTTATCTTTTAATTTTTTAATTAATAACATAACTAGAAATTCTAATCAAGTTAATGCAAGAAATGATCAGAATCAGATATATTACTTATTGAAACTATGTACAAATTATAAAACAGTTACCTTAATTTCAATTCAAGTTATCTTACTGAATACATTAATATTATACATTCTAAATATTTTTGACTTTATTTGATAACACATTTATAATTTATACATCAAAGAAATGCAAAAAAAAACCTAACCAGAATCAGTTGCACAACTTATTTAAACTATAAAAAATTAAAAGAAAAACAGTTCCATTCATTGTTCTTTGAATTATTTGTAAAATCATATTAACAATCATAATATATATATATATATATATATATAGTAACAAATAAAAATACAGTTTATATTTAGAAATAAATTAGACTCAGTTTTTTACTTTTTTGTGTAACTTAGATGAATGATGGGCTTCTATGAACTAAAGTTTATTATATTTATGTCAAAACTGAATTAACTTTATTTAACCTTTTATACAGAATATTACATCTATAGTTATGAAAGTGTTTATAATTATGTTTCAAGGTAGAATAATGGAAAGGAAAGCACCTTGTGAAACATAATATTTCTTTGTGTGGTTTACACCAGCTTTAGACATTAGCAATAACACAGAGATAGGTGATTTTCTTAATTTGTATAGCCTATATTAACTTTTACTCAAACTGAATATTCAATGTGTTCATAAAAGCCACTTCCCTAATGTAACCAGTTAATATTTTTGGTTAAGGTAATTTCCCTTTTATCATAATGTCTACAATATGAGATATTGCTTTGTCTTCAGCAAACACATGGTTATATATTTTAGTGAATAATTTTCAATATCAACATAAAGAGAACAAGTTGTCCTCTTTAAGGAGCAATTTCATACTTTTCTGTATTGTTTTATATGTACTATTTTATTGCACCATATTCAACACATAAATTCACTGGCTAAATATGTTTAATTTCTTTACATTTAAATACAACCAACAACCTATTTTTAATCTGATTCCACCTTTAAGTTCATAACAAATACATCTATATATATTTTAACACTTGTTTCAACTGGGAGGTTTGCATCTAGAATTAAAACAAAATGCTGTCCTTACTTCTGAATTATAGTACTTTGTAATATAGTTATGTGTGTAGGCCATTACATGGTTTAAATAGCAAAATCTTCTTACTGGTTTCTTGTGTAAATCTCTCATGGTTGTGTATAGATACATGAGAATATAAAACTTTAACTTAACATTACATACTACATGAACTCTTTAACTGCTCTATTCCCATCAAAATGTCTAAACGCACACTGATAAAAAGTATTTTGTAAAGCAAAAGGTATCTGAACCAAAAGATTAATTTTTCATGCCTTATATTTTCTAAATTGTTAAAATATTGATAATTATTATTTTCCATAACATGGTCCCTTATTCAGTCTCATATTGTACAAAACATGAAAAACCAACTCAATCTATTATCACAGATAACAAAAAAAAAGTACTGTTTCATACTGTATGTACAAAGTGACAAACATACTTTATAAAAAAACACTGTAGTACGGAAAAAATGATGTTAAAAACCAGATGGTTGCAGTCAGTAAGCTCTTTGCTCCCAGAACTCTTACAATTGAATAATAGTTAATCAGTGACAATAAAAAGAAAGAAAACAAAAACAAGACATAAAAATGACAAATGTATAAATGTATTTACTTTATGCTTGGAGTGTAAGTACTCTAGATAAGTCCTCTCTGTTGTCTACCTTTATATCATTATGTAATACGCTTGCTGTATACATTTTCTTGTTTTTCAGTATATTATAACAAACTGAAATTAGGTTTATAAAACTAACATAAATAACAACTTTTTACCTGAAGATGCCACACCAATGTGGTAAAACATTGAGATGTTCCTGTTTACCTGTTATATATTGTGTTATATTTAATTATTTTCTCATGTTATTAAACTCATACTATAGTTTTACTGTGTATTTACTCAGCTGTATTTTTTGTAATGAATTTAAAAATGGTAAAGCCATCAAGATAAGAATATGGGTGTAATATTAAAGTAAAAGCCTTTTCTAAAGCAGAAAAGTCATACATCTTTCATTAGAGATTCATTTGACTATAAATTTTAATAATTTCAGCATGTAAGGTTTTTCAGACACTTGTAACATTGGAAATATATCTTTGCTGTTGTCCATACTTACTACTGTATGCATAAATATCTTCAGGTTTCACTTAGGCAGAATTACTACTAAAAATGCTATATATATATATATACACATAAAACATTCTTTTAATCTTTTAGTTGCTGCTGAATATAACACTTTCATGACATTGTGCACCACCGGTGGTACATATGTATGTTCTCTGTTGGACATTGTGAGCCTCCCGTGGTACACAGCACCCATAAGATGTAACTGTACCTCATATCTCCAAAGTCCTATATGAAGCATTTATTTTATACGGATGGCTATAATAAAGTTATGCCTTCCATCATGTACCACTGATGGAGTACGAATGCCATGTTGAAAGGAGAACTGAAATAAAACAAATTTATATTATTAAATCACTTTTTATTTTAAAATTACATCTAGAGATTTTTCATTGTGAGTAATTGAAGCAAAAAAACACTAACTGAGACTTCTTTCATAAAACAGAAAACTGTTATGAAGACTAATATGATAAGAATAAAACTATTAACATCTACAGAAAGGATTATTTTATCTGATATCCTTTTTTACACCCATAAAATTGTGAAATATTAATAATTCTTCTAAAAAATGGCAACATTAGGCTGAAAAAAAAGAAAGAAAGAAAAAAAAATATTGAATATTATGATCATAGTGTATACCACTAGTGGCACATGACAGCCAAAGTTTAAACAAGTAAAGACAGGATGTTATGTACCACCTGTAGTGCATTCAAGAGAAAGTTCTCAATGCAGTCATTCTGTCACAAAACATAACATAAAGCCATAAAAATAGCTGTATCTAAGATAGAGTTCACAATGAGGCCTTACATACCTATTGCATAATTAGAGAAACGTGGAGAACGTGTTAATTGCAAAAAATCTTGAAACAAATGCATACTGTTAATGCATATTTGTGGATTTAAATGTACAAACAGTCCACATTAATGCAATTCTATGATAGGTGTTTGTATACTACCTTTGTTTGCAGTAGCTGAATAATTCTAATAGCTTCACAATTTTTGTTTTTTACTAAATTAATTACTTTTCTATTTGGTTATATATATATATATATACATGTTAATCAGCACTTTTTCAGCAACAACATCAAAATTTCAATGATATGGTTATAGATTCTTAACCTGGAGGCCAAATCATTTGTCGACCTCCCAAAATGTGTACATGAAGATGATAAACTTCCTGTCCTCCATGTGGGCCATTGTTAATTACTATACGATATCCATTGTTCAATCCCTGCTCCTTGGCTACTTTCTGGGAAATAAATAACAAATGTCCTAGAAGCTGTAAGATAAAAAAAAATGTACGAATGAAACATTTGCACTATCCATAACCAATTAATAGAACAATGCTGTATTACCTAGTAAATACACAAGTGATTTGAGAAAAATAAACAAATATATCAAGTTCACAATAAATCGGGAATATATAGCCTCATCAATGTTTTGAATAATTGTGCTAGATTGTTGATGAATACAGCATACAATGCATCATTATTCTGTAAGTTAGTTTTTAAAAACTGCTTGTAATGTTTCATGTGGGATAACTAGTTCTGTTCTGTTTTCTTTCAAATGAATTTTGTTTGTAAATTACTGAAACTTGAGATTGATTTTCAATCATTACATATGAAGATCAGCTTTGTTTGTTATGAATGTTAAATAAGTCCTAGCTACATCAATCGAGGCATAAACATAGGTAGTTGAACTAGAACAAGAAAACTGTGTTTAAGATTTATTTTCTTAAATATGCAAAGTTCAAACCTCAATGTATTGATAAAACTGTGGACCATTAAGTGGCAATATTTCAATCAATTATTTTGATAATGGATAAATGGAATAATCAAAAACAGTAATAACCTGAAACACAATTATTTTAAAATAATAATAAGAAATCATAATGGCAATATTTTGATTACTTAGATACTTGGAATAATTGAACACAGTAATAATCAAAAACACAAATTTCAAGTAGGTGTTTAACTTAATGGCATTAATAAATCTAATCATAATTTTTGTTAGTTGATTATCTTATGGGAGACTAATCGATATGATTGATTATATCATTTAATTGCTCAGCTCTGATGACAACTTCATAATCAATTTTGGGATTTTTCTAAGGTTTTTAGAATATTAAAATACATATGAATCATATAGCTGTAAAGAAAATATATTGTTAATCCAAAATTACAAAGTACACAATGTACATACTTTACCAATGTCCACATATTTTGTCTACATTATTACTATTAAAGTGTAAAGACATTATTTTACTGAACTATTCTAAAATATTACAGCATTAAATCTTGGTAAAGCTCATGGGTATTGTTTATTTACTTTGAATGTTAAGCTTATGCACTGTTAATAACAAAGTGGTTAAGGTAGAAAACCCAACCTCTTTAAAAGTAATGTTAAGACCGAAAATGTTCACGTACAGATCTTGTCAACAAACTGGCTGTAAATACAAAAATGAAATGAGCAAAGCTGGAGATGGGTGTTCTTAACAGAGTAATTCAAGTTCAAATTGTTTGACAATAATCAGTGACAGTTTATCTACAGGGGGAGAGGAGACTGTATCATAGTCAATGTACAACATCTACAGTGAAGCATGGAGAGGGATCAGTAAATGTTTGAGGCTGCATCTCAATCAACAATATTAGTAATCTACACAAAATTGTTGGCTTGCTGATTAATCCATCATATCATTTTCCGCAAGAACATTATTCTACAGGCAAGGATTCATCTTCTACCAAGGCAATGATCCCAAGCATACAATAGCAAATGTGATGAAATGATATTTTAACAGTTATTTATCAGTTATTTTTGAGTATATATAGTTTTCACATAACACACAAACAAGAAAGTTGTTTAGCAAATTTCATTTTAACTGCCCGTGTTCCTTTGGAGATAAAACCTGCTCTGGCCATGAAATATATGGTTGTAATGGTGCAAGTTGTGCAATAATATAGACAGTTGTGTCCTCCAATGACATATCAAATGTGGTATATCCAGTTGAAACTGAATTAACTTAAGACAATGAGATATGTCCACTTAAAAACAGGAGATTTAATCAAGGTTCTAATTCCAAAGCAATGATATATCTTTGAAATATTAAGACTGAATTAAATTGGGCTATGAAAGAGTTTCCTACACTTTGTATATAAAGTTAACAGCAAATATATCAAACAAACTTAAAAATTTAACAAAGGTCACTATTCAATGAAGCAACTTTGGATTATGGCCTGGATATTATACTTTCCAAATTCAAGACAAAAAAGTATTATTCTTGCAATACTAAAAGCCTACCTGCCAACCTAGAAATAACCCCCTTTTTGATGCACAAAATGATTAATAGGAATAATAATATTACAGCACTGGAAACTTGGTAATTAACAGTTACCCCTAACTTGAAAAACAATTAAATCAACTCAATAAGAAGTCAAGTTCAATAACAGTAACCTTAAAAAACTAAAATTGTGCCTACTAAATTCATACTGCATGTCGCTTGCTTCTTACCCTAATGTACACCACATTTGGTTTGTGTGAATAAAGTAAAAGCTAGAAAAGCATTTTTAAACTCTGAAGAAAATGAAAAAACTATATAGGTCACAAAAAAGAATAGTTGTTATAAGTTCATAATCAAATGTATTTTTAGTTGTTTATCAAGATTAAATGAAATCCACTTGTTAGTATTTTTCACACTCTGAAATGAAAATAAAAGTTAACCCAAACAAAAAATTCAAAGTTCAGAAAAAAAAGGGCACAATGAGCTATTACATTCCTTATATGAGAGATTTGTTAGCTGTACATTATAATGTGTAACAGATGGTTAAAAAAACTTAAAAAACATCCTTATTTTATTTCATATACAAGTATTACCTTAACATGTAAAACAAATCAAATGTCAAGATCAATTTTAGAAAAAATACTTAACTTAAAATATAACAGTCTTCAGATTCTAACATAAATAAATGGCTGAATTTTCCATAAAACATATTCCCTTTGATGTTGAATATTGTTTATATATTTTTCTTTCAGCATATGAATATGCATACAGCAACAGGGAGGTTGGTTGAACTAGTGGGATAGTTTTCAGGGTAAAGAAGAATTATACGTTTGATGGGCTTTAGATGGGCTACACTCGAGCAGGTTAGGTATTAGGATGTTTGGGAAAGCTCTAAGTATATTCGTTAATAACAGTTTAAAATAAACTTTCATAGTGGTGAAGGAACTTGGAAAACGTGAATAAACAAACCAATACGATATAGCCAGGACAATGAAGTGTTTGAATATAGGAAAATTAAAGCATAATAAGATAAATAATAGTTCTAAAGATAAGTCTGTCAGATTTAAAGATAAACACAGCATGAGGTAGTAATTTCTATTATATTCTTAGTTATGATTTTTCTTACTGTTTATGTATTTTTACCTTCTACTGTTTGGTTCAGTTATATGAACAAGAGGTTCCCCTGGCAGTGACATATGGATACATTGTTCGTGATTAATTATGTAAAACTAATGTTAAGTAATTATATAGCCACGTGAAATGTAATCTTATGGCCTGGCAAGACAACAAAAAAGCTTTAAGAATTGAAGTTATACTGATGATGACCAGAGAGAAGAATGTTGTTAGGTTAGAGATCTCTCAATCTGTGACAAGCAACATATTTGATTTATTACAAGATATTATTGCAAATACTTATTTGATATTATATTTGTGATTTAATATTATTTCCTGGAAAAGTGTCTAATACTGTTATTAGGAATAATCTTACAAATTAAGTTTTTCTTCACCTGATTTTTATTATTTCTAACATTATTTTGTGATTTTTTTATTGGCAACTTTGTTTTCTTTATTTTTAGAGGTATTGGTGTTTATATTGGAGATTTAGTTGTTTCAAATAAATCTCATAATTTTTCATACCTGGTAGTAATGTCATTATTTGAAATGTCACAATAGTAGATTAGAGGATAAGTTTAGTTTCGACTATTCTAATGCTAGGAGTATGGTGAAACAAAATGGATGAGTTCAAGGCTCTAGTTGAAATTGAGAATTATTGAAACTTAGGTAGAAACTTACATCAATAGTAGAAATTATTCTAAAATTGTTATAAGTTATTTAAGAGTAATGGACACAGAAACTGGTACTTTACAGTCAAATAGTAAAAGAAGAGAGTTTAATTGAATTGGTTCAGGATGATTTTATATACCAAATATTTAGAGAGCCAACTGGGGAAGATAACATATATCAGGTTAATTGCTAACCATTAATGAAGATATGTTTCCAAGAGTTGAAGTGAGGGAATATTTGGGGAAAATTAATCATTGCATAATTAGGTTTGTTGTATGCTACTGTACATATTGAAATAAAAATAATTAATATTTTAGTTCCTAATTTATAAAAAGAAAATTTTGAGGTCATGAAACAATATATATTATTAGCAAATAGGGATAAAGTTGAAAGGTAATGTGGAACAGACTAGGGAAAATTTTTAAAATAATTTATTTGTAATTAAAGATATGTTTGTTCTTAAAGCTATATAGGATAAAGAAGATCAACCCTAATTGGCTTACTACAGACATAAAGGAGAAACCCAGTGGTAAATGCCATAAACTTAATAAGTTTAAACTGAAAAGCAGATTGTAAAACTTGCAGAACTATATGAAAGCTGGTAGTAAGTAGAAATATTGAGAAATTACAAATAGAGAAAGCACCAGAGACATACAAGGTTTTCCCCAGGGTTTTAATACAGGTCAAAGATCAGATATATAAGCCTTTCTTTCACTTGGTAGATCAATAGAGAGTGGACTGCTATCTGAAGATTAAAGAGTTCCTAACATTAGTCCTATTTTTAAATGGAGTAATAAGATTTTTCCATGGCTAATTAGTATTACTTCTGTAATAGGAAAAAGTCTAAAGAGTCTGATAAAAGAAGATTACCAAAATCATTTAGTAAAACATGATACCACAAAATTTCACCAAGGATAAATCTTGCCTTATTAGTTTTTGGTTTTATTTTGAGGAACAAGGAAAATGAAAAAAGTGTGGAATTTACTTATATTTTCAAAAAACTTTTTATAAAGTGCTACATAAAATATTAGCTAAAGAAAATCATATTAGAATGAGAAAGACTTAACTGGATTATATGATGGTTGAATTAGGGAAAGCATGATTTTAATACTTATATACTTGAATTTCAATCATGAATTATTTTAATCATTGTGAAGAGATAATTTAGTATTACCACAAGTTTTCTCATCAAATAGTTGAAAGTTATACTGTCTTTGTTTTTCTAAGGTTGAAGTGAATTTGTTTGCACTGACTTATAATTTAATTCTCACATCGAACAGTATTAATTGTATTTTTCACCATGTTGCAGGTTTCATACTATCAGAAACATAGTTTGAAAATGTCAGTAAAAAAGAAACTAGCTGGAAATAAGAATATCAGTCTCATGTGAGAATAATTGATGAGTTGAATGTAATTGATTAATTAGCCTAGTGATTAATGGATTAGCAAATTCCATTAATTGCCTTATATAAGAAAGGATATTGATCTGCAGAAGGAAGGCTACTAGGATGATTCCAGGAATTGACGATTCGTCTTACAGGAATATCTTAAGATATTTTATTTGCTCTTGGGAAAACAAGGGTAAGATGAGATCTTGTTGAAGTTTACAATACTACCTGGTGTATCAACACAATAAAGTTCTATGATTTCTTTGTGTTATATTATGAAGTTAACAGAACATAAGACATACATTTAAGATTTGGAGAAGACAGGCCAGGTTTCAGTTAAGAAAGCTATGTCTTTCTAACAGGATGATCGACTTTTGGAATTAGTGCTTTCTGCAGTAGTCGATGCCAGGTCTTTAAGAGGGAAATTAATTATTTTCTAAAAATAAAGGGTTGGTGTGTAAAGACAGCCTTGAAGGACCATATCTTTCTCCTGTTATGCATATGCAATGTTATTACTTCAATAAAGATCTGTCAAAATGCTGTCATCTTAGACAGTTACAATTCCTCACAAGAATATATTATATATTTGTACAGACTTGTTCTCAAATCAATAATGGCACACCACATAAAGTGGGTTTTAGAATTTATGACATGAAACTAAATTGTATCTTACATATAGAAGGAAATGTGCACTGATTTTCACTTACAACATACAATTAAGGCATAAAAGTAAAAAACTCGGTAAGATAGCCAACAAAACTGGAAATTGAACACCTACAACAACACTTTTACAGGGATGGAGTGTTGAATTTTTCTATCATTACCATTGTAACAAATTCACATACCTCTTCATCAGCATCTTCAGCCATGGCCAGTTGAGGAATTGGTTTCTTTGGAACAACAAGAATGTGAACAGGGGCTTGTGGATTAATATCATGGAAGGCCACACACTAATGGGTATAAACATTAGAGTGAATAAATTTGCCATTATAGTCTGCATGAGGAAAATATAAAATATCATATCAAAAGTAAATCAGAAGCTGCAAAGTAGTTTAGTTCATTTTGCATATGTTTATATCATGTAAAGATTTTTATGAAAACTGAAAAACACATAAAACCATTAATTATACATACGAATTCATGAGGTTGGATATGTTCAAGTTCATTACAATAAATATAGTACATGCATGCACACATGTATATGTACATTTACATGCAATTTGTAAAACATATATGCTATTGTAAAAACCTAAGCATAACAATGATCAAGACATCTAAGGGTTATCCTTCTGCCCACCCTGGTGAAATAAATAAATATAACCACTTCAAAATAAATATACTGAAACCACAGTCCTTTGTACAAATTTAAATAAAGAGCATACAATACATCCTCAACAAATTACTGTATTTCACAGGTTTTATAATTCCTACAAAGATGTAATTCTGCTAAAAAGAATGTCTGGGTCTGAGTTCACAACAAAGCTTATACCTATCAGTTACCATTAATTTTTGCTTTGTTATTTCACTGTATAAGCGTATCATACACAAGCAGTTTTCCAATTAATTTCCTATAAAGTTAGTATCTGAATCAAGTAAATTCAAGCTCAGTTTAAGTCTTTCTTCATAATTACTTTTTTTTTTTCCAATAATCAGGGATAATTCTAGTAATCTGTTTCTCAACTTTTTCCAAAATGTTTAAGACAATAATTAAGGAGATGAAAATGTGCAAAGTACTCTAAATAATACCACATAAAAAGAGTATACAGGGTTACAACAATGTTGTAAATTTAAATATAGTAATTTTTATTAAAAGATCCCAGAAAGCAATTTGTATTTTTCAAAAAGTTCAGCCAAAGATCAAAGGTATATTTCAATAACCACATCTGTATCATCCTTACTCTAAATAATCTCAATGTTTCTATCAATCACAAGTAATTTCAAAATTTGGAAACTGACTTGAATTAAGTTACGAAGCCCTATAGTTTTGAATTATATATTATCTTTCATGTAGACAATGCCATGTTTAGGTACCCACAGTTGCAAGGGGGTTGCAGAGCCTAAAGAGGCCATATGCTATATATTCAAAGAAATTTTAATTTTTCACATAAGTAAGAAAATTCTCTGACAACATGGATCTTTATATATATATATATATATTATTTTGTTTATTTTCAAAATCAGCCCTTGATTTTGACTTCCACCCCCCCACCCTCTGGGGGCCACAAGATGATTTTTCTGGGAGGACTGCAAAGCTACTAAACACGACACTGCATGTAGATTGGTAATATGGAACATAACCTACTGAACTTGTATATAATTTTATGAAGCTATGATGAGATTCATGTGGTAAATTCCTTACAAGTGACTAAGCTTACATTTGGGCACCTAATATTACTAGGAAAAAAAGTAATCAATGTTGTGGTGGACAAATACTAACATTTAACATTTCAAGAATGCATACAGCTACTCACCATAAAAAAGATGCAAGAATTTTATATGCTTTTGTATTAGATCATTTATCTGATAATCTTTTGATGTTTATAACTGATTTCAACTAAGTTTTTTTTCATAAAAGGGAAATCCTCCCTCACCGATCTGTTAACTTTTTTTGGGGGGGGGGTGTTACATGTTATCTGATGATGGAAAAGTGTTGACTTAGTATCCTTAAATTTTCAAGAAGCTCTTAAGATACCACACAAAATCACATAGGTGCGGTGTAGGAAGGACTGGTAATTTACATAACATTATAGAACAACAAAAGACCTTACAGTCCATCTATGCCATCCTAGTCACTAAATTAAACACTAAAAAACTCCAAGCCAACCCTTATCATTTGCATATTTATCAAGTTTCCCTTAAACTATTTTAAATTAACTGCATCTACCACATCTAAAGGCCAACCACCCTGTTAGAAAAAATAATGCTGTCTTAACTGAAGTTGACTCCTACCCAGCCAAAATTTATACTTGTGTCCCCTAGTCTTACCATTCTCACCATTAAATATGAAATAAGATGGTGCATCAACACTATCACTTACCTTAACAGTATTAAACACCACAATCAGATCCATTCTAACCCTTCTTTTTTTTAAAGAAAAAACAAATTCAGAAAACATAACCAATCCTCATATGACAACCTTTCCATTCCAGGTATCATCCTAGTAACCCTCCTGTGAACCCTTTCCAACAAATCAATGTCCTTTCTAAAATAAGGAGCCCAAGACTGAACATAGTACTCCAAATATGGTCTAACCAATGACCTATGTAATGACATTGTAACCTTTTTAGACTTGTTAGATGGTTAGATTTATAAGAGAAAGCAAATGTTTGTTATTACAGACATCCAATCAAACTGGACATTTATTACTAGTAGAGTACCTCAGAAGTCAGTGCTTGGAGTCACATACATATAAGTCATAACTATAAATAATCAGAGGAACATTAAAATCTAGCTGAGGCGAGTCATTGATGTTTAAAGAATGAAGGCCGAACTGTTTCAGTTTAGAAATTAATGAGTATTAGTGATGAATTCTAAGATATTAAGTGGTGCGATACAAGGACGAAAACAGAAATATTGTATACACTAACACAGATGAACTTGAAATAATACTGTTTATTTGAGTAACTAGAAATGGTTTGAAAACTAGGACAAGACTGTTTCAACTACTAAGATTCAAACACACACACTTGTCCATTCAGAGAATAAAGAAGTGATGTTTCCCAAGACTGCAACATTACTAATACATTCTCATGGGAAAGTTGGGCTATCACTTTCCACAAATTCTCAAAAATTGCATTATTTATGGAGAAATATTGCAGTCTAGAAGCATAGGTTCACAACTTCACAGTGGTCCAAACTTAACACTGTTACAGACAACTAAAGTCTGAAAATACTACATAAATTTTTAATACTGCAGAAATAAAGATATAGAAAAGCTAACCACGGCTACCACACTGTTAGCTCATACTTACTCATAAATAGGATAATACTCCTGTTGAAATACTTTCCACACTTAACAGGGAAAGACAACAATTACTTCACTGTGAAAAAACTTCTAAACATAGACAATGTACCAAACAAAATTTATATAAAAAAAAGGATTGTAGACTGAAATATTTTAAACAACTGAGTTTGCAGAGTTTACTATTAGTATTATATCAACTATCACTACTTTAAACTCTGACACTGTTAAATTATATGTAGTATATCACTTAAAGTAAGATCTCTTTCTATACAAAACAGTTATATCTATACATAATGTAAAAATAATATATAAGACTGAATTACAAAAAAAAAATTTAAAGAACAATCAAATAATTACTGTTCCATTTCTTCACATGCAGTATTGTTGAAAAACTTTTGCAAATCATTTTATCAGATTACCAAATGATTAACACTGTGCAATAACTGAATAAGTCTGTTTGCAAAACTTACCTGAATGCTACTCTATGTTTAAATCATGAAAAGGCCACAGATTAAATTTGTTTATATCTGTAGTTTGTGAAGATATAGTTTTCACACAACAAATATATACTTAGTATTTTTTTTTTCATCTAATAAAGTTCAAATGTTAAAATAAATGTACCAGAGTTACTTTTAGGTTATTGCTTTTTCATTTTTCCAGAAATTATGTGGATTAATGGATAAGTACATATAAGTAGGTCACTAGGGCTAAATGCTAGGCTTAGGTTAGTATGTAAAGATGAGCAAATTGGCTGGTTAGACATGTGGGATCAGTTCAGTGGAAGAGGTAGCTTTTTTGGAATGGATGCTTTACATTTAAATAGAGTAGGGGCTGGCTTGTTTGCTAAGGCTATCAACTCAGCTGTAAGGGAAGTTTAAACAAGGACTAGACAGTGGTGAGGGCCAGGAAAAATTAAATGCAAAAATAATAAGTGGCAGAGAAAAATTTAGCATTGGAAAAGAGTATAGAAGTAGTTATAAGGATAGGCTTAATTGTTGGTATTGTGATGATAGAAGTAAGAGAAATAAAATATATGACCTTAAAGC